GTGAGAGAGAGAGAGAGTGTGAGAGAGAGAGAGAGTGAGAGAGAGAGAGTGTGAGAGTGCGAGAGTGAGAGAGAGAGAGTGTCTGCCGTCTGATTGGTCGGGAGAGTGAATAAACTTTATCATCAAATAAATGTGAGTTGAGCCGTTTCCATGGTAACCACACAGAGACATTTGACCGTTTCCTGTGTTTTTATTTTAGCGTTTAATTGTTATGTAAGCGTCTTTGTTTCTGTTCATTTCCACAGTCATCTAACAATATTAATTTAAATGTTTTCTGTCTTTGAAATCAGATTTCTGTGTTGATCTTTTTCCTCGAATGTTTTTCTTTGTTTACAGAATTTTTTATTGATTGTTTTTGTTGATTTTGTTGTTCTGATTGAAGTTCAGGAAGTGTCTGTTTGCCGTTTCCTCCCAGCTGCACAGATTTGATCAGAACGTTCTCCCTCACAGCGAAAATTGCAGAACCGGAACCGGGACCAGTCTAAGGTCCCGGTCCCGGCCCGATTTTGCGGGTTTTGTAGTGAAGTCTGTGAACTCACCATGTCTGCTGCTTCACTTCCTGCTTCAGAGAAAAGTTAAGAAACCTTCAGTGGGTCTCAGGTAGATCCAGGTGAGCTGGGCCCGGTCCTGGGTCAGGTAAGTCCGGATCAGACCTACTCGGTCCGGCTCAGCTCGCTTCACTGCGGTTCTGCTGTTTTAATCAGCATATTACTCTCGTATCTTTTTTCTCCCTTCAGTCTTCAGCGTCTCAACTCTCTGCAGGTGTGGGCAGGTAGGCTCCGCCTCTGGAATTCTGGGTAATGCAGTCTGAAGACAGAGCCGCGGGGCTTCGCTGCCCCTAGAGACCAGAAGGAGAACTGCACAGCGACCAGTGTTATTCGTGTTTTGTGTTTTTTAAGGTGACTAACGTGTGACCATGTGCGGCAGCGGTGAGCCTCATAGCAGGAGGGTCTTGGGTTCAAACCTGCTCCAGGTCTCCAAACACTGAGGGAAGGAGCTTCAGCGTTTCCTTTAGCGGAGGAGACACTGGAGCATCCTTTACGAAAGCGGAGGAGAAAACACGTCCCATAATTCATAGCGACCCACGAATAAATGGAATAAAAACTACTTCCTGTTGCTGCGTGAAGAACGCTGTGTGAGCTCAAGATTATGATCTATATGATCTGATCAAAGGGTGTTTATGGCTCTGTGTAAGCTGGGATCAGCGAGGACGGAGGATTTTACTGCACTCACTGAAATCCTCCTCTGGATCCCTGCAGGGAAACAGAGGGAAAGAAGCTGGATTCTCTTTACTCGCCTTGTTTAATAAACAGGGCGCGTTATTGTAATGTTGTTGATCTAACCACGTGCTGTGGTTTATAAGAGACACGCAGCCACGTCTGCCGTCATGACCTCGATCAAACAGCGGGGTTAGCGCACGCGGCGGCCATGTTTTGTAGTTCATTTTCTGCACATTGTAGTTTCATCATGGCGTCACATGGTTACACTGGAGACGAGCTTCAGGTCGTTCACGTCTCAGTGCAGGGGTCTCCTTCTTCCTTCAATCAAAAGTCATCGCGGTGAAGGAAAAGAGGAGGTACAAACTGGTGACCTGTCTAGGTGTTAGCCCCGCCCCTCTCCCTGTGCTTTGTGATGTCATTTTTAAATTAAATTAATGCCTATTGAACCTATTTTAATGTTTTTATTTGAGGAGGCTGTTTTTATGAATGGAGCCGCTTTCAGAACGTCCTGAATGAGCTTCGTCAACGCCGAAGGATAAACGCAGACTCCGTGAAGCTGATTTGATTTTAAATCGACACGACAGGACGGAGCGAATCTGTGATAGATTGATCAGGTCTGCTGTGTTGGACCGGATGAAGGTTCCTGTCACAGAAAAGCTGCGATCGGGGAGCAGCAACGATCGCTGATCCGACTGCAGTGATTGAAAGTGATGATGCCCTAAATGTAATCAGATTACAGATGGAGACTACCGATCTGAGCTGATAATCAATCACTGAGTCAGTCAGCTGTTTCAGGTGCAGCAGGAGGGGAGGAGTCAGAGAACACCTGGTAGTCAGCAGGAGTTCAGAATCTGTTACCACGGCAACTCAGACTCAGAGTTGAAGTGGATCAAAAAAGATTAAATCCCGAGTGTGTGTGTCTGTGTGTGCGTGCGTGCAGTTTTCACCGACCTGAGCTCTGACTGAACACTGCTGCACATCCTGTGTGAATGTGGAACGCTACAAAACACTTTACACTCACAGTCCAAGTGTTCGTTCTCTCACACACACACAGATTGATCACTAATTATTAATCAAAGATTTCTGCAGTTGCTCTACAGTCAGAATAATCAACCACTGATCGTTACGGACTCTTAAAGACCAAAACTGAAGTTTAAATCAAGTCAGACCTCAGACCCATCAGGTCGACTCTGAGCTCGAGAACCTGCTGGGGGTGGATGAAGTTGTGTAGATTCCCACAGGAACACCAGCTGAGGTCACGCATCAAACCTGTGGATTCTGTTGAATAAACGTTCTCCACCTTTGTGTACGAGTCAGAAAAATAAAACACCTTCAAAGAAAATCTGAAACTTTTATTTCTAAAATCCAGACAACTTCCTGCTTTGATCTGAAAATCTCTCTCTGTAGCAGCTGATGTAGGAGGAAATATGACAGGATGATGTCAGCTCACTGTGTGCAGAAACAAAGTAAAGGAAACCATGTGATCAGATCAGAGGAGGCGGAGCTAAAGGTGAACAGCGACTGGTTTTAATTGGCTCAAAGAAACTCCGTCGCAGGTAAAACAGGAAACGGCGCCACTCTGCTCACAGTTCACAGGTCACAACTAAAAGTGGGCTGCTCTCTCATTGGCTCAGAGTCCCGGGAGCAACCAATCAGTCCACATATGGAAGAGAAAAAAAAAACGAAAACCGAAGAGGACAAACATAACGAGACAAAGAGGAAGCTGAACTCCTGGAGAAGACGAGACAACAAAAAGAACCTGGAATAAAATAAAGGAGGGGGGCGGAGCCGTAAGAGCTCCTCAGTCTGTGCAGCGGTCACATGATGCCGTTGGTGAGGTACTGGAAGCCGTCGTAAAGTTTGGTGGTGAGCGACCTCATGGAGCCGTCCACCAGCTGATCGATGAGCAGCTGCAGCTGCTCCTCCGTCAGGCTCATGTGGAAGCGCTCCTTCAGGGCGCGCATGGTGCTCGAGCCGTGGAAGCAGGGCAGCTGGGAGCCTGGGGGCACAGAGGGCGGAGTTAGTGCTGCGGGGCAGGGAACCGCCACCAGGAGGAGCTGTGGCAACTCACCTTGCTGCATGATCTCCACAATCTGCAGCACGCGCTCCATGTGCTTCCTGGCTGCGATCAGGCCCTGGAGCATCAGCATCTTGTAGTAGTTAAACATGTCGCCATCAGGCCCGCCCATCACCTGACAGACGAGGCTCGGGGTTAAAAACAACCTGACATATCACACCAAGGGCTCAAACCTCCCACTGAAGCCTCCCTCAGCCCTCCTCCTCTAACAGGAAGCCCCGCCCCCTGGCTGTACTCACGTCCACAAACTCCGCGGTTAGCTTGAAGGCGGACGTCTCAAAGCCGAGGTTTCTGGGCGAGCTGGACAGGATGAAGCCGAAGTCGATGTGGATGATGTGGCCTTCGGCGTCCAGCAGGATGTTCCCGTTGTGCCTGTGAGAAGGGAGGAGCACATTTAGCGCGGCGCTTGGACAGCGTACACAGGCGCGAAGATGTCACAGACTCACCTGTCTTTGACCTGCAGCAGGTAGCAGATGAGGCTGTAGCCGGCGCAGCTCTGCACGAAGTTCCTCTGCGCCGTGAGAAAGGCCTCGGTGGTGGGCGCGCCGTGCTCCTGCAGGAAGTAGTCGAGCAGCGACAGCTGACTCTGCTTCTTCACCTGGTGCAGCGACACGGCGTTCACCACGGGCTCGATCATGCCGCTGTCCGCCGACAGCACCAGGATCTTATACGGCTTGATCCACAGCGGCATGCGCTCCTGCTCCCAGATCGACTGCACGCACCGTCCGCGGCACCGTCACATGACACAGAGAGGAGATGATGAGAAGAAGAAGGGCGGAGGGACAGGTGTGAGGTCGTGTGATGAGGTGGTGTTACCTGCAGCTGCCGCAGCACCTGGAAAGCGAGCAGCTCCTGCCGCAGGTCGTCTCCACACTTTACAATGACAGACAGGAGCCTCCAGGTGGGCAGGTGTCCGTACGGAGAGCCCTCCCTGATCCTCCTGTAGGAGACGCACGGGGAGTCATCGTCACCAACGCCATCTCCAGAGCACACTGCACGTGCTCAGTAAACCTTAGGACGCACCCACCTGACTTTCTCCTCCCACGGCTCCTTCAACGCCACCGCCGACGGGTCCTCAGGGTCCCGTTTGAAGGTGGTGGGGGCCTGGGCGAGCTGCTCTGAGAGACGCCGCCTGAAACACACAGCATCATTCCTGCAGCTGTACTAACTCGGTGCGCTGCGTCTGAGTCAGGTAAACTGAGGGAAACATATTTCTGTACGTATGAGTACCGTGTGTACTCTGACCTGATGTCTCCGGCGGCGATGAACACGGGCTCTTTGCTCTCCAGGCTGGTGATGCTGTCCACCGAGAACTGGCTGATGTTATCACAGCTGTTGGTGTGAGTCTCCGGGAGCTGCAGGGGGAGGAGCATGAAGAGTGGGTGTGTGGGTGGGGGGGGACAGAAGGAGGAGTGGTCAGTGTCTCCACGAGGAAACTGCTCTGCAGACTGAGCTGCTAACCTTCGAGTTCTGGGATCAACAACAACAATCTTTATTTATAGAGCACATTTAAAAGCCAAAGTGCTTTACATAAAAGAATAAAACAATAAAACAATTAACATTATAACATCAGAGTCATATAAGTGTGGAATTATGTTCACAGGTAAAAACCACTAATAAGAGTAAACTATAGCACATAGCTATAGCAAAGTAAAGCTGTACCATCAAACACAGTGATAGAGAACATAGACAACGCAAGACAAACAGAAAAATTAATAGAATAACTCACTGCAAACAAGGCCAGGATTTAACTGGTAGAAAAAGCAAGTTCAAACAGATATGTTTTAAGCCGTGATTTAAAAGATTGAATGGAATCAGACGCCCGGATGCCAATCGGGAGATTGTTCCACAGCTCAGGTGCAGCTAGAACAAACGCTCGATCACCTCTAGACTTCAAACGAGATCTGGGCTGAACCAACAATAACTGTGAGGATGATCTTAAAGCCCTCGCAGGAGCATATGAGTTTAAGAGTTCCCTTAAGATAGCTTGGTCCTGTGTTATTAGTAATTTTAAAAGTAAGCAACAGAATTTTAAATTGAATACGAAATTTCACAGGCAACCAGTGCAGATCAGCAAGGACGGGAGTGATGTGAGCAAACTTCTTAGTTTTAGTTAGAATGCGTGCAGCGGCATTCTGGACTGTCTGTAATCTATGTAGAAGGGTAGAGTGGAGACCAAAATAAAGTGAATTACAATAATCTAGCCTTGACGTTACAAAGGCATGGATGAGCTTTTCCAGATCATTGTGCGGGATGTAGTGTTTGGCCTTAGAAATAAGGCGAAGTTGGTAAAAACTGGATCTGACGACAGCAGACACTTGTTTATCAAGTTTAAATGAGCTGTCAAGTAGCACACCCAGATTCCTAACAGTGTCAGAGAAAAAGCTGCGGCTGAACAAGACGACGGCGAGAGCTTCCGCATGCCGCCCCAGAAAGGTGACGGCCATCTTTATTACCGTTGTGTGTGGCGTGCAGCAGCGTGCTCTGACTCGTGTTTTTCACTGATCATTAATGAAGCTGTGACATGACAGCGTCTGAGGTCAAAGGTCAAATAACAGGTAACGGTGCCATCACACAGACCTCACCTCCGTCTGCGTCGCAGCATGTTCTGGAACCACCTGACTACCGGGCTATGACATCACATGCTCACCTCCACCTGCAGCTCTCCGATGTCGTCCACGGACCACGCCTCGTCGTCGTTGTCATAGTTTGGAACGACCGAGAAGCTGCCGGCTCGCTGTTCCGGCGTCATGCCGCAGTCTGGCAGGTTCTCCACAGAACGCGTGCTCCTGATCCGGTTCTCTGGGATCCGAATGGGAACGCTGGACGTCTCAAAGTTCTCACACTCCAGAACCTCCACATAGATCAGGTACGGCGCCTGAGGGGAGGATATAGGTCACATGACTGATGAGGTCACGGGTAACAGGACGTTATCTGACAGGCGTTTCACCTGGGCTGCCGCCGGCGGTCAGCCTTCCGCGGGCGGCGCTGTGAACTCTCACCTTGTCTTTAGAGTTGAGCACCACGGCCTGAGTGTGCGGCACTCGCACCACGTGGTGGTCGAAGGCGGAGGTCGGCAGCCATACGCGGGCCGGCAGCTTGTGGTTGAGCAGCGACAGCTCGGAGATCAAACGCTGCGTCTTCTGCTCTTTGGTGGGCAGCGTGGCGAGACGCTTCCCGATGCCCATCAGAGACTTGATGAACTCCCTCTGAGGGGCCAGGCGCACCGGCTGCAGGCGAGACACACACAGTCAGAGGGCGAGGGGGAGGGGCTTACGGCTCTGCCTGTCACAGCAGACCAACTCAGAGCGAGAGAGAGAGAGAGGTGAAGGTTTGATGTTTGTGTGTCAGGTTCAGATAAAGCGAGCGAGCTCAAACATGAAGGCCGAGGTCACAATCACCTGACCCCGCCTCAAGTGTTCAGTATGCTCGCTGAAGTGAACAGTCTCGGATTTTTAGGGCACTTTTGTTTTAACGGAGACACAAAATTGACCAACAAAACCCAGAAAAACACAAAAGTTACAAACTGATCCTTATAACCAGCCCGCCTCCCACAGATCACAGTGGGTCACATGATCGCAGCCTGAAGGGGACACGAGACCATCGGTGGGAGGAGCCTGTCGATGATCTGAAGGCAGCTGAAAGCTTCTAAACCCAAACCCAAAGAGCATGACCCAGTAAAGACCGACCCCACCGTCAGGCACGGCGGGGGAAACTCTGAGCCGACAGATGGGACCACACACGGGAAAACCTGAGCACGGCTGAAGAAAGGTCCTAAAACAAAGCAGGGGCTAAGAAAGAAGCACATCAGGGTCACGCGGAGTCCGAGCTGCCGACCTCCGCCCTGCAGGAACTCTGTAGAGGGAGCTGAAGCTCCTACAGAGTTCCTGCAGAGAGGAGCCCAGAATCCTCCGGAGATATGAGCCAGCTGACCAAGGCGTTCTCCACCGAGGACGGATGCGTGCTTTTACGTTCTGTCTCTCCGTTAACATCAAAGTTTCACAAAAGTCTCAGACTGTTCACATCTGTGAGCAAACCTTTTCTGTATCCGAGTATCAGTGTATCCGAGTACTGGCAGTGAGTGGAGACAAACCTGACACACAAACGATGGAATCACGAGGACGATCAGATCCCGATTGGAGTACAGCCCGAGTCCGCAGACGTGACGCTCACGTGTCATTGCTTGAGCACACGTCTGTGACTGAACCAGAACCAGAATAGGAGCCCACACACTTCATTTCCCACAATGCACCTGGAGCTCAGAACAGGAAGCAGCTGAACTTACGGGACAGGAATCGAACTCCAGACTGTCGGAGCTGGAGCTGCAGTCCTGAGGGTCAGAGGACGGGAGGTCAGAGTCATGTACAGGTGTGCTCGCTCTAAGCTCACCTGTCCTGGAGGTTTAACCTTCAGCGGCCTGATGCGTTCAGAAATCGGCGCTGCCTGGGCCCGTGACGAGCCTTTATCACTTTACACGCACGAGCTACAACCTGAGCTCAGCTGGTGTTAAACGCCTGTGGCTGCCTCACCGTTACAGTAAAAGTGGGCGGAGACAGCATCAGTACCGCCGCTGGTGTCTAACAGACAGTGAGTCGCCCTGGTGCGTCACCTCATCTCTTAAACTGAATGTTCACCATGTGCAGACACACTGCAGGCTGCCATGTTTCCACGGAGTAACCTCCCTCATCATCCTTGTCATCACAAAGCACTGCGAGGCGTCTGTGGTTCTGTTATATAAATAAAGCTGAATTGAACTGATCGGATGTTTGTTTGTTTGGATGATTCCAGATGTTTCACATCGATTGGCTCCAGGTCCTCGGCCACATGGAGTCCCGGTCTCTAATCTGCTCATTGATTGGCCAGTGATGGAGTGCTTCCTGTTTGTTGAAACCTCCTAGGACCTGGGTCCACATCTGTGGACATTTTGGGTTGTCTAGACCACAATGCTACATTTTGCTCTCGGAGGGTAAAAAGATCATTCTTTGTTTCTACATTTGTCGGGTCCCAATCAGCTCAAATAGCAAAGAGGGATTAAAAATGCACGCCATGAGAGACTTTGGGTCATAGGAGGTTAAAAGCTGAAATTTGTTTGAACAAATGAATTCTGACCTGCAGATACCTCCCACAGGGCACGATCACCTGACTCGTTTCACTTCAAAACCTGATCAAAAACCCGGTAAAAGCCGGTTGATAGATAAAGAACCACCAGCTGCGGCGAGTGATCGGCAGCCAGGGTGTTCTGGGAAAACTCCCTTGGTGGGTTAACTGCACCCTCCAAGGGCGGGCTGTTACCTCGTCTTGGCTGGTTTCCACCTTCGGATTGCTCGCCGTCCTCTTCAGGTTGCTGCTCAGGCTGATGCTGACCGTGGCGTCCGACTTGGAGCGTTGATGCGTCCTCTTTGTGGGCGATAGGCTGTGATCTCCTCCCAGGGACCCGGGGCTGACGGTGGTGGGCGCCGCGGGACAGAACGGCGTCAGGGCGAGGGGGTCCCTGCGGACCCGCGGCCCGGCGGGCTTCAGTTCGTCGGACAGGATGAGCTTCCTCAGCTTGGTTCCCCGGGAGTGGCGCTGTGTGGAAATGTGCATGTCGGACGAGTAAGCGCCGAGCAACCAGGCGCACTGCAGGCTGAAGGAGATGCTCTGCCTGCAACGATGCACCTGCAGGACACAGGAAGCAGTCAGCTGATCGACCTTTAACCCCTGCTCTGATTGCGTGTTCAGACAAAACGGCAAGTTTCACCTCGGAGTTCAGATTTAAAGATTTACTTTTCTGGTCTGTCTGCCTAGAGCGAATCACACGGCAGCACTCGGCACCACCTCTGTTTCTGACTACAGGTGATCAGCTGTAACGATTGGGTAGCACTTTAACAATTTCCTGCCTTCATGGACATGGTCCCGCCTCCTTCCACGGGTGAAATGCCATGTTTGGTCTGAACACGCTGCGTGGTTTCCTCCATGCAGGAATACAGAATCTATCGACAGCATTGATAACGTGAGTGATCAGTAACGTGAGGTACAGGTGCCGTTCAGGTTCTGGTCCACAGTCAGAGCGTCACCTGGCCATCGGCGCAGAGGCTGAACGCCTCCATGCTGTGGGGCGCCTCAGGTCTACGAGAACTGACACGAAAACAAGTCATCTCACGTAACCCTAATGTACAGTAATCTAAGGTACAGTAATCTAAGGTACAGTAATCTAAGGTACAGTAATCTAATGTACGGTAATCTAAGGTACAGTAATCTAATGTACAGTAATCTGATGTACGGTAATCTAATGTACGGTAATCTAAAGTACGGTAATCTAAGGTACGGTAATCTAATGTACAGTAATCAAATGTACGGTAATCTAATGTACGGTAATCTAATGTACGGTAATCTAA